GGCACAATCACTATCGCAATCGCGCTGGTGTGAGCATGGCTTAATTTTTTGCGTTTTCTTTTCGATCGTCGTTCTTAAGAACAGTGTTGCCATTTTAGCCGTTTTTCGGCTAGATTTAGCTGGAAGCGAAAGCAAACAGCCGGTTAGCCGATTTGACAAAAAATAGCAGTTTTTAGCCGATTTTTCTATTGGCAATATTTTCTTAAAATTTATATTTGTATAAATGTTTCCATTTTTACAAATTTAGCGACCCGAAACCTATTTTTCATGTCGAACTGTGTTACATATGTATGTATATACAATTGAAAGACAATTTTTTCTGATCCGAAAAGTCTTCAAATACTGGGCCGATTTCAGAGATTTTTATTTTTAAGCACATATACAGTAAGGTTTTAGTTAAATTTTGCAGAAATTTCATAATTTTTGCACAAAGACCGAGACTTGGATTTATATGGTGTTTGTTAAGTAATCAGCTATATTTTCATAAAAAATAATAAACATTAATAATAAACTAAAGAAAAATAGCCAAAACTTGCTAAAATGTCGCGTCCCAGTCTATATTTGGGTCACTGTATTTTTTCCAAAGAACGTAGCGGGGATTTTTTCATAATATTTTTGTTATGAATGTCTTAAATTTTAGTGTGGAAAAAACTCTCTGGAAAGACAATGGGGGCGTTCATAAGACCGTAGCTGTTGTCTAACCGTTGACTGTTTGTCTTAGAAACGCACAGTTGAGTAGTTCCGCACAGCTCAACAGTTGGCAATATTCTGTGTTCGTTAACTGAACTCAATGTGTTGGAACGTGTCGAAAAGACTTACGGCGTTTATATTAAATGTAACGCCGTCTTGTTAGGTGGCAGCTATAAATGAATTTATTCAATTTTATATAACTGATGTGATTAAGTAACTAAAATATTTTATAATAATACTACGTTTTTAAATATATGTTTATTAAGATGTTTGCTTTATAATTATACACTATTTAATTCATTATAACATTTAAAGATTTTTTCAACACAGCGGCAGCTCAGCGTTGAATTGGAAATATCATTTGTTTACATTTAACAGTTGTTCATTTGACAGCATATTCATCAAGCCGTTTCTAAGACGTTATTGTTGGATTCAACAGTTGCCAGTAGCTTCGTAGCAGTTGAGCTAAACAGCTACGTCTTATGAAAGCGCCCAACATTTATGAATATTTGTATCGTGGTGCCAATATTCTTTAGTGTTGCTTATTATTTCCCTCTGGCAGGCATGTGCAGAGAGTGAGCAGGTCTTTAAAAACGGGAACGTTTCAAATATATGGACATCAAAATAAAATTACATAGTTTAATTGTTAAAAACTTAAAAATCGACCGGCTTGTTATACGCTCAACATTTCGTCAAGTAAAACTGAACTGGAACAATAATTTAGTACTATTACAATTATTGTGGAGGATTTTCCTTAAAGAATGCTAGTTTGAAAATAAGAAAAGGCTAGAAAAAAGCCACGAAGCTAGATCCTAAATTTCGAAGCTAAACGATAAAGAAAAAGGTTAGCCTGGAAAAATGAAACTGGCAACACTGATCTTATGGGATATGCGTGGTAACAAAAACTCACCACGGCATGACCGTAACGTAGATGCTGCCTCTCTCTCTCTCTCTATCAACAGCAAACTTTATATGTTTCTACGCACATCTATGCTACGCTACGTAGACGTTCGTGAGTAACCGCGCCCTTAGAAACGCTTTCCATCAGAAACTAGTGATAATTATCGGCACGCCAAAAATTTCTCGCACATAGAGGAATAAAGAACGAAATGTGGCAATTACGTAAGGATTTAAAGGGTAGAAGCTCAGTTAGTGTAGACTTGACTTAACTTGCCGTAAGTGATTACTCAACACGTGAACTTAGGCTCGAAGCGAATTTTGTTTTTAGAATTTTATTTCTCAGCCGCCTTTACTCAACACGACAACTTATTCCCGAAGCGAAAATATTTTCTTGGGGAGATTCATGAAACGCCGCAAGGTTGCAAATGTCGCATTTGTCGCAAAATTTGCCACCTAGCGTCACAGCTGATTAGTTTTGTATGGAAACTTTCCTGCGACAAAATTGCGACATAGCCATAGTATTTGAGCTAGCAATCTTTGCAAAGTCAAAGTCGCGAAACACATATTTTTTATTGTCTTCAAATACTTCAAGAAAAAGCATATCAGTTGAGGCTGCTTCGAAATTTAATTGTAAAAACTTTTCTTTTTCTCTAACGTGCGGCATTTTTAAAACATTTTCCAATTTGAATGCGACAACATTGCCATTTCGCCAAAAATGATACTTTCCGACTTTTTTGGAATCGCACTTTTTTTTTGAATTTTATTACTGAGCCCTTAAATATGGATGCAGTTTACGTGATCTAAGTTTAAACTGACACAGAAAAACTGGCCGGTATACCTGGGTTATAATGAAAGTAACTGTCATTTATTTATCTATTGCGTATGAAATGAATGGAAATGGTTATAATGCACGTAAACGTAATGTAAAACGGAAGAATCTAAAATCAATAGATCCTTACGAATTCGTCGCGATTTGTTACGATTTCCTCCGTGCATTATAACCAAGACATTAGCGTAAACTTATATATGCACTGATCATGTAACAAAGGAAACATTCCGGCAAGTAGAAAAAAGATGCCGACGTAAACAAGCGAAGATAAGTGCATTCTACCGTAAAGCAGCCATTGAACGCGCACAGGAAAAATGAAATACATATACGAAGTTTTCGAATGGTACTCGCTTCATTGTGGACAATAGAAAACCTCCGATGATAATACTGGCATGGAAAACCTTTTGAAAAAAACTATACACATATTAAATAAAACAATGAATTTCTCCATTTGATGACACATTTATCACTTATTGAAGCAGCGTGTACTGATTCTAAACTCCATTACATTTCCTTAAGATTTTCAGATTTTTTGATAAACGTCATTCATGTATAATTTTTTACCAGCCCTTTGTAATTATCTCTCCTTTGTTTCTAAAGTAGTCGCAAGTTCTCTTTAATACAAATTTTGTTATACACACTTGCTGCTCACTCGGGGAAAATCGATTATAGTACTTTCCAGTCGAATGTGATTATCGATGTTTCCACAATCCTTAAACCCCCTATTTGAGTTTTTCGGCAACGAGGTTGTGGGTTCATGGACATGGTTTTTGACATGAAATTATAAAATCTTGATTCTTATAGCTCAAAAGAGAGTAATCCAAATATTCTACCAAGGCTTATTTTAACATTTATAGCTGTTGGGAGTCGAACAGTGTTAAAATCATGCCCATCGTTGCTTCGTTTGAACTTTCCTAGCAGACTGCTTTCTATTGTAGATAAATATAGTATGTATTTTAAAAGTATAAAACAGCCACTAAGCACCAAATTTTTGCAATTGCCAGCATAGCTCATTTTAAAACGAAGGTATATTTTTCTTCCACAACTATGTATACCATTCCATTATCGCTTAGCACATGAATGTCTGGATGTTTGTGAGAATAGCAGCACAGAATTTCTGATAAATTCCTGCCTTGCATCAGCTTAGCTACATACATACATATCGTATTCTGGTTTTTGCATACTTCGGCTCTATTGCATTTTCACTTCATTGTGCATTTCGGTTCAACAATTAGTTTATAACTATTTGCTGGAACGTCGACACATTTTTAGGCCCGAAGTAGTTGTTCCAGAACCTTTAACCTTTGTCACAATTATTATTTCCTTGTATTGCTTTCGCTATCTTAAATATCACTAAATCCGTGTGTGTTATTTGTTTGTGTCATATGGCTGCGTTAAATTAATTTGCAAATATGTACATACATATATACATAGTTGTATATGTATGAAGGTGTATAACTTTTAAACGAGTACATATTGGTATACATAAGTAATTATGCATATAAGAAAGCATGTAGTACAAAGTGTATGCAAATTCTTGTCTACTACTCCTTCATCCAATCGCTGCAGCTTTGTTAATTTACGTATCCATTTTAATACGTAGTTTAATTTCTACATTACTGTAGTTGAACGCATTCTTGTTGTCTGAAGTATCACCTCAATTTGTTTTTGCATGCATAAGCAGTCATATTTCTGACATTTTGTACTCGAAAGTACTTCCATATACTCATCACTGCCGCCGCCGCCGCCGCTGTGTAGTTAAGTGTTTTACATTAGTTCAATGCTTTGCTAAACTATTCATTATCTAGCTTTTTCTGTATAACTTCTTTTGTGCAAACCTTTTTCACTTTAAACTAATTTCATCACACAAACCAGGAACATTTTAAGATCGTTTTCCCACTTTTAAAGGCATACTGTGTATTGTAATAGGTAGAAGTGATAATAAATAAGTATGTATGTACCTACGCTTACAACCCTTTGCAAATAACATATTCTCTACTACAGCCAAAGTAAAATATTAGTGCGCCACAGAACAGGTCACAACTGTATTTGCTTGCTTTAAAGTTCCAACAAAAATCGCACAATGGCGTATATAGTGTTCGTGTTGTTAGCCGCATATTCGGCTTTATGTTCGTGCAATTACCGAATAGAACACGAGCAATACACGAGTGCCTCTCGGGCAAACAAAGTATTGTACATTCGTGTTTTTGTATGTATTCATGAATAGTAGTATTGGTGTACATATGTGCTTATGAATACAAAGAATATTTCAGTAGGTTTATGTACATATAACGTACTTCTGTTACGTAACGCATAACCTAAGAAAATTATTTGTATTTTCCAGCAGAAATTTTTATAAATTTGTTCAGATACTGCCTTTAGACCTTTTATATTTCATAATTCATGATTTTAAATTCTTCTATTTCCTTCCTCATTCACACAGCGAAAGCGCATACATACAATACAACATCTCATTTTTTTTTTCTTTGCAATACTTTTGCAATTCCACACAGGCGACTATTATTTTCAACTTGAGACACTTCACAACCAAATTTTAGAATAGTAAATGTTTTTTATTTACTTAATAGATAATTATTACAATTGATGCTTGTAATTAGTACATTTTAATATGGCCAGATTATCTGCTTGCAAAAACTCAACTGGAAATCTAATAATGTAATAAGAAACTGCTTGCTGCAGCTACCTTCCTGACACAAGCGAACACTGCAAAACCGAACCGTGGTATATGAAAAAGAAGAAATATTAAAGCGAACACAGAAGTGACAAAGGCGAAATTTGTGGAACGAACCACAAACATATCCATGTACATCCATATATAAGTACACATTGTAGGTATACGAAAGAACGACGAGCACTAGGTAGCGCTTTGCCTGAAAACCAGTCAATCAGTCGTTGGTTGGCAGCTGTGGGATATAGTCAATTTACGGATGGCGGAATAAAAATGTATATAGAACAGCTAAAATAAATACTAGCACAGCACACACACACACATGTATATATGTACACAAATACAAAAACAAGTATAGCAATGGAGCTCATAGTACATATGGATCTATAAATAAATATGTACTGCTTGGGTACTTTTTGTTGCTAAAACGCTGGCTTAAAAATTTAAAACGTGAATGAGCACAACAATTGCAATTGAAAGTTCCCTAAATAAATGGAGAAAAAACATGAGCTTCTAGAAAGTTTGCTGTTGTCGTCAAAAAAGGAAAATGGGCATTTGCACAAAACAAAATGCGACGACATTCTTGGCTAACCAAATACATACATGAAATCTTATAACGTAAACTTACTAAGGACTTTGTGGTTCTTACACTCTTATAACTGCTCATGGGTTTTTACTTATGCAAGTTTGGGTAGTCGAAGTTTATTGATGAGGTTTAATTGAATTTTCAATTTATCTTGAGGTATTCGTTTTAAAAATAACTACACTATCGATTCAGATGTCCGATTGGACTGTAAAATCTGGACGAAGCTTGCAACAACAAAGTTGTGCTTGGGAATGTTTATCTGTCTTTTTTTTGTGTTAAGCGGTTTAGTACGAGGAAAAAAGCATAATTAAATTGCTATCTGTACCATTTTTTCGCTTATGTGTTAGGGTGACAAAAATTAGCAAGCACATCGTTTACATACATATGTTTGCATGTTTTTGCCATTATTCCTCGTCATCGCTTGACGTCAGTAAATAAAATTAAATGGTTTGCTATTTTGAGCGAGCACTTGAGAAAATAAAAGAAACGTATGCGATTTATTTGACACCAAATAGTACAGGGTTGTATTTATCAGCAATACACATTAGATCCTCATACATATAGTCAATGACTTGAAAAAGAATCTCGGTATTCTAATTTAATTTTAATCCTTTTCTATGTATTTGATTTACGATTCTAATATATTTTCCCTTATATTCAGCCTTATCATGAGTTTCTTTTTCCCCGAACCGGTTCAATTTTGATTTCCATGGTTTAACTATGGGCGGATGAAAAATTTTCGGGTGAATTTTTTTAGGGCGAAACTCAGGCAAATTGATTTCTTAATCATTAATTGATTAAGACTCCATTTATATGCCATTTGATTTTATGAAGTTTTTTATTTGAGAAATAAGTACTTTACATCTACGCGCTCGGATACGGCTGTGGGCTTGAGTCGATTTTTCTGAGCAATTAGTCTATGACTAAATCTCAACGCATTTATGTGTTTATACTGCAGTGTTCTTATTTTCATTTAACTTTGCGTTTTGCAATTTCTAAAAATAATCCTTGGTTTTGTTTTAAAACGCTCCGGTATTCGCATGTTTTTGTTATCGATGTGTTTCATTTTACGCTTCCTTTCACATGAAGTTGAACAGCCATCTTGGAAATCCATTATCACACACAATGTTGCTACATGTTCGATATGGAAAACGGTCCAACTTAGTCAGAAGAAATGCCATTTATTCTCAAAAAAGACATTTTTCGAATAAAAAGTTATACCATTTATCAAAAAAGTAAACGGAATTATTAAATTTTCATATAAAAAATAAGTTTTATTTTGATATACAAAATCCTTTAGGTCGTTTGATGAATTTTGTTCTATGGTCTCCGTCGTAAAGGCAATTTAAGTTGGCAAAATAGAAAAAAGTCGCACTTAGTCATATGAGAAGAATATGGTGAGTGCGGTCGATTTTGAATCCCGTCAATGAGAAGGTCATTATCGTTATCTATAACTTGGGCAATTTCTGACGGATTTTCTCACAAACTCTTCATAACGCCAATTCTGTAATATTCTTCATTTTTCGTCTATCCATTTGGAATGAATCCATAAATGCACACGAGCGCGAATATCGAAGAAAAAATCGGCATTATCGTAACTTTCGAACGGCTTTGGCATACTATTTCGGTTTAACTTTTATTCTATATTCCGATCCTACTTTCTTGCTTGCATGAAAGACTTGCTTATGCAAGTCATATCCAAAGTTACCTGTTCCTGGTACCGTTTTTGAGAAAATTCAGCTCGGGAAACGATACCGTTAAGTGGATTAATAAAGACAAGATTTTAAACACATTACTACCAATATAAGTTCTTTTTAAAGATTATTCGTGTTAAAGAGCTCAAAAATCTTTTGGACAGATAAGATTTTAGGGCCCCTATCAACATTGAACATCTAAGTTGAGTCGTGAACCATAATAGGGGCCTAAATTAATTTCACATTTGTTTCATGAAACTTCCTTGAATATTTACCGAACATGTGGCATGAAATAGTGATGTAAAAGTAGGTAGAATTGTTCGTACTATTCAGTCTTTTAAATTAGAACGTATGTATATTCGGTACCATTTTGGAACGTAACTTAATAACTTTTCGGAAAATTTTCGCTTATTTTCATAGGCATTACAACCCGTTTTCTAATATGGGAAACTTTTCCAATAGCCCCCTCCTTTTGTAAAATGGCATAAACATTGGTTAAAGCTACTTGGAGAAATTCCTGTCAATGCCATTTTTAATAGCTAAATTTGTTGGATGTGAGTCCAAAAGTAAATATGGTACCGGAAGGAGAATTTTTCCATCCACCGCCAAAAATGTATACACATAAAACTACACACTTATTTGCTTGTTAGGTACATTTATCAACATTTAGATAAACCATTTTTCGGCATTTAGGTACAATTTTAAAATTTGTTTTTACCTCCCTTTTATTAGCTCAGGATGTAACTATGTAATATTGATGCGCCTAAAAGATGCAACGATTTCTATTTTCAAGTTACATACCTGATGACAGTACGAATGGAAATTTTAATAGCGAGGGTTTTGTTTTTTAAACTATAGTTTTATTTCATTTTTTTCATCCCCAGTGCGAGAAAGTATTTTATGACGTCAGCGAGGTGAATGCCCATAACCTCGAGTAGAACGTTTTTATTTTATGAACAACTGTCAATTGTTATCATTGGGGTGTTTAAGAAACTCAGATCTTAATTTGACAATTGTTCGTTTACTTTTTTTAATCCAGGGTTTAGACAGAAATAGTCCGAAGTAATCGTGGTGTAGAATACCAACCGTTTGGCAGAAAAGAAAGAAAAATTGTGACTCGATAGAACTTTTCATGCTGATTTCAACCATACCAAATTTGGCACAAATTAAAACCAAATACAATATAAGAAGCTAAAGTTAAACTTTTATATTTTTTACATTTATAATATCTCGGAAACTATTTGACTGATCACAAAAGTATTGATGCTAATTTAAAGATAATTAAGTACCTTTAACGCGACGTATCTAGTATAACCCTTTTTAAAACAAATTTTAAACAAACGCCATTTAAATAAAAATATATTTGTATATGTTTGGTTATTAGATATTTCTGGTTTAAAAATATTAAAGGGAAAAAATTATGCACAACAAGTGAAAACCCCCCTAATTACCTTTATTTTGGCGTCATTAGTTTTTAATAGGTTATGCTATTCAGAAGATATTAATATTTAAAAAATCAAAAAATTTAACTTTAACCATAGATATCTTCTTTATTTTTTACTTCCGCCAGAAACTTTTGGAGGGTTGAAATCAGCACAAAAAGTTCTACCGAACCACATTTTTGGTTTTTGCATAGCTATTTGTTGATGTTCTACTCGACCTCGGACAATTTCTGATTAAATCCTGCAGTACGGGAACAGGCTAACTATCGACAAGTCGGTTGCGGGTTTGGATTATCAAAGAAACACAAACCAAATTCGGCCAAAAAAGGGTTTCATTCCCATAAACTCCAAATAAAAGTGGTGTTAAAGGAGTTTAACGAAAATTATTTCTATGATAAACTCCGAGTTCAAGAGCCGAGTTTAGCATTAAACTCCAAAATGGCCCATACACACGAGTTAATGGCTCAACGTGAACATAGTATAACTTTGGATCTGAGGTTTACTTTTTTACTAGTAAAGAAAAGCAATTATAATATGGTGACCCTTTTCTTCGTCAACTACCCTTTTTTGCGACTTTTTGAAAATTCTCAACGCCAATGCAATTAGAAGTACGTTTACATGCAAATATAATCTCAACCAAACCTCGTTTGTTAATCACTTCGTTTACACAGGCAAATATCAGATTTTTAGCCGTCAAATTTGTTGTGCTTGTTATTCTCACAACTCAAGGAAAAGTTAAGTTTATTCTCTGCGTCACCGCGATCACTTTTTCTGCTATATTAAGCAATTAAAATATATTTTAACTTAATATTTTATTAAAAATACCTTTAGAAACCCCTATCGTGCCTTTTTATTTACTTTTACATTTGACATTTCTCCTCTTCTTCGCAAAAATAATCGTTAAAACTAGGATAGACACTAAAAAGTTATCGGTTTAATCTGAGATTATTTTATAATTAACGAGAGACGAATTTTGTATGGCTAATCTCCTTATATGTGAACCTAGTAGAAGTTCGAAAGGTATTCTAAACTCAAGGACTTCTAAAATGCATTACGGTAGCACTTGTAACATGTGCATACTTACAAATGAAAAAGGTTACATAAGGTGTATGTGTTATTGTATAGCTTTAAAATATTAAAATTTCATATAAACCATCGTATAGGCTTACAAGTATGGAAAGCGCCATTTTGTTTGTTTACATTTGAAAACAGCTGAGATCACCTGATTTTCAATTCTCTCATTCTCCGCACAGAGTTACATTCAAGTTTCAGAAAAAACTTTAAAATGTAAATTGAGAAATATTTTAGAAAAATGTGTTTTTATTCATTTGAATTCAATAAAAAAGAAATTAAAAATGCGTGCCAAGTCTTGCATTTCCAATAATAACGATAAATGTGTATGTTCCAGGCAATACTAACTAAAATATAAAAATGTATGAACGTTTTTGGTGTGACAATATAACTTAAGAACGGCTTCACCGAATTCAACCAAATGTATGCGGCATATTCGGGCCATCATGCAGATATTTTATGTGGAGTTTGCCCAAATTTGGACAAGGGGCGTGGCATATGTATGAAACTTATCGTTTTGCGTATTAATGAATTTCAGTGCATTTAAAGTTTCTGAGGTTTCGTTTACCTTTAGATCAGAATTGTCAAAATTGAGAAATTCAAAGTAGCGATACAATAATCATAGAAAAGAAGATTGCGCCCTGCTGTGATGATGAGTAAATTTACCACAATGAGGAAGAATATAACAATTAAGTGAAAAAATTTTATTTTTACAAATTTAGTGAGCAGTAACGCGTTTCAAGAACGATATTTCAGACAAATCGTTAATGAACAACTATTTTTGCTTCCCGTCTGCTTTGGTTTTGGCAAAAAAGTTCATAAGCTCCTGACGGCGATCAAGTCATTTCAACCATAAAATAATATTATTTGCAAGAACCATTCACTAAAATTTTAACTAACTTTTTATTATTTATTAATTCCTTTTTGATATTCAGCAATAACAAGATGGAAAAAAATTATAAACCAAAATTAGTAATATTTTTATGAATGTAGTTATAAAAGTTCACAGAGGAAACGCCGGAAAACAATGTATTGGCAACAACATAAAATTTATGGCAATTTAGATGTCAACAGAATAATAACTACGATAAAAAAGCATGAAAGAAGTGTGCGAGAAACGGTCAACAAATTTCTTATAAAATATTTTGATTTTTGCTGGGTGTAAATGAAAACTCAATGAGTATTAAGGAAAAGAAAAATTTGAAAATAATAAACAGAAAAAGAGATGGGTGCACAAAAACTTTAGTTAAATGTTTTTCCCAAATTCTTAAAAAGTAAGCAAATCGATTTTTTTAATGTTACTTTACATCTATTTTCTTTTTTATGAATAAGGTCATAAGCATGTACCGTTTTTATAAATAAATCTTATAGCAATATGCTATATATTTATTTATACACTTTTTGGCTGGCGAAATATGTAATTTTTCAACTTAATAGAAAAGCGTATTTAACCACATTACTTTTTTTTAATATTGAATGGCGCAACACAACAACTCTTTT